TGGTTCTAATAATTCATCACCTCCCTCTACTCAAACTATCACTTTTATTCGTCTGCTTGTTTCATTTGAAAAAATTCCACAGTTTAATGACAGCATGGGCAGTGAGTGTAAAAAAAAGTTATAAAAAATTATATTCAAGAGAAAATTTCACTCGTGACTACCGTTCTACTCGTCAAACCCCCTAAAACTTGAAATGATGACGGCCATCTCTCTCAAAATCAAAATGTTTAGGAATTTCCAAATAGAGCGAGGCGTGGCTAAATTTCGTTTTCGATAGCACATTCTTAGAATTCTCTGTCACCGTTGCAAATGAGCGCAAAATTTTCCGTTTGTTTTTGATTGTTAACTGCTGTTTTTGGCCGCAGTTCGCCTTGCGAATGTTTCACAAGAATGCTGGGTTGTGAACAAAACTTTCGCCCCAGGCGGGACTAGAACCCGCACCTCTCGCTTTCCGGGCAAGTGCGCTACCAGTTACGCTACCGGGGCACCATTTCATCCCAACTCAGCTTTTTCAACGCTTTCACCTTTAAAGCTGAGTTGGGATGAAATGGTGCCCCGGTAGCGTAACTGGTAGCGCACTTGCCCGGAAAGCGAGAGGTGCGGGTTCTAGTCCCGTCTGGGGCGAAAGTTTTGTTCACAACCCAGCATTCTTGTGAAATTTTCCGTTTCATTTTCTTCACTTTAGTGAAAGTCGTTCTGCAATAAGCTATCTCGACACGCTTGAGAAGCTGGCAGACATCAAATCTTCTTCTCACAAATTTATTTCTGAAATTTTCTTCAAAGCAACGCATTTCTTGTCTTTTTTTTGTTTTTTCGAGAGGTTTAAGTATGACGATTCTGCTGTTGTAACCATTTTTCACGCCAGATGGCGCGCTGAAGGCATTGGATTCACATCTTGGACCTGAAAACAATCTTGCCTCCAATTTAGCTCGGCCACTAAATGTGGCTTCTGGCGTTTGTGATGCTTGCTATCATCATCGTTTGTTGTTCAGTAAAAAGCGCATTATTCGGAACGAGCTTGTCTAGTGAAGTTGTCGTATCGTATTGTTTATGGAGACATTCTGTCTCAGCAAAGCCTTGGCCTCGATCTCATCGAAAATCAACGGGAAAGACAGAGGATCATCTCAGTGGTATTTGTTGATTTCAATGATTCCTTTTTTGCTGCCACATCACTTGGCGTCCCTACTTTCATATTTGATCCCCATCAAATTATCGCCACTATTACCTTTGATTCATGGAGATTCCAATTAACAAGCACCACAGGGCAGAGGGCCTTCTGTGGGCATCACGAGCATCTCGAGATGATTCAAGCTTCTTCTTCTTCCTCCCTAGCGTTGGTCCCGCGCAGTCGCAGGGTCCGCTGCCTTTGTCAGTCGTCGCCACTTTACTCTGTCCAGGGCATCTTCTGCCGTGGACCCACTCAGGTCCTTCTTGATACGTCTCTCCACCTCTTCTTTATGGTCAGGGACAGTCTGCGTGATCGCTCAGACGTCCTCCTTTCTAACCCTGTACAGCCACAGGTCCATCTCAAGCATCCTCGTTACGACAGAGGAGTGAAGCTGCCTTTCGTGATTCTTGCTCAGGGCCCAGGACTCGCCGGCGTAGAGCATCGCAGGCCATACCACCGTCCGGTATACTTTCCCTTGACTCGAGAAGATTCAAACCTATGTACCAAGTTTTTTGGAGGATCCGTATATTCAAGGGCGGAGTTCACGATTGGAAGTCAGCACTTGGAATAAAGGTAGAGTGTTCAGTGGTGTCATAATTATGAAAAAAGCATGAGAATCGGCCGCGAGAGAATAAAACCCTTCCTTTCGTCTCGTTTCCGCACTGATGCGACTCTCATCGGTGCTGCCCTCTTCAACGCTAACGCTCTCTCTGCTAAAGGCTAGAGACCTGCGGCGAGTGGTTAGCCAGTCGGTGGGCGTGCCGCGTCGATAGCGGCGCGGGGATGGCCATGCTAAATCGCCGAGGCATATTCTCGCTGCGAATTGCGTGTCTGCCTGCAGGCAGAGGAGTTCTTGTCCTTCCACTAGGCAAACTCCCTTTTCGACTCTCTACATTATCGTGAAGTCCCCCTTTAATGGCCTGAAACCTTTACCCAATTCGCCCTGTTCATGGTTCGATAGCTTCTGAGGAAGTCATCCAAGGAAGAGCACGTTCCTTGAGAACCACTGCTTCCATCTCTGAATGTAAGGCCTACCCCGATCCACTGAGATTTGAACATTATTCAGATGGCACTCACACCTCTCTTCCAATGATCACACCTACAGTGCTCGTTTATAAAGAGAACGGTGGACCATAGAATCACTTCTATGCAACCATTGTGAATCACACGTGCATGGCGCACCATATCCTTCAACTATGTAACTATTGGGGATGTAATTGAAGCTATTATTAGTTCAAATGCTCCACTTTGATGACATTCTGAAGTCCAGCAATTATCGTTTCTTTGCGTTGGTCGTTTGGTGTCGTGGCGTCGTATTCCCGTCGGCGGCGCCCCCTTTCAGCTTTTTCGTTGAGGGAAATCCTCGTGTCGGTATTCATTCGTGTCACTCCACGCAATACGTATTGTACAGACAACGGTGTGATTGGCCTGGATCGCCGGACGCTCATGTAATTGTCGAGGTCCCAGAAATCGCCTCACGCAACATGGTCGCTGCAGCCATCACCACCGGTGCCTTCACCACCCGCGATCTATTCACTCTCCTGGCACTTCTCTGTTATTCTGGTGAGATCGGTGAGTACTGTATTCATTTTTAAAGTATTTATGTCATAATATCTTCCACTGCTAATTCATTACTGCTCCATATACATAATAGTAAAGACTCCAGCACTAGTAGGTGGGGGTAGCGACAAGCGGCAGCGCTTAGCATGAGTGCTGTCCAGCGGTCAAATACCTATTCTAAGCTCGTTCAACGCGTGCCATTCAAGTTCCTATCCCACTTGGATGCCAGGGATCGCCCCATTGGATCCAGACACGTTCAGGGAGGGCAGAATGCGGGAGGGGCAGCGAGAACAATCACTCGAACATCGATTCGCCCGCCGCGTTCGAATGCCATTAGAATTCTGAATTGAAGTCCAATGCCAAACACGTTATTTTTACCTCTACTTCAGGTTTTGTAATTCTGGAGCGGAGAGAGAAACTTTTAAACTCAGACCGTGACCCAGTTGAAGATTGAAGGGCTCCTTCGGATTCCTTGAATGACTTCACACTAAACTTCTAGACGAGGGATGCCAGAATACTCCTGCCACGGCAGGTTAGCCCCGTTCGAGCTCAAGAACTTCCTCGACAAGTCGTGGACCATAACGACAAGCTGAAACGCTGGTTGGAAGTGGTCTTGCATAGCCACAGCTACTATCTCTAGAAATCTATCCAGCAGTCAATCCAATTATCAAGTAGCTCTGAGAATTAAGGTTTTCCTTGAATTGACGACGGCAGCGAAGCGACAGTACGCGAAAGTGCATTCCGTACGAGAGGGCACAGATACCCCACCGCTGCATAGTAAAGGGCAGGCAGCTGACATTCGAGACCCTCAATCGGCGAGCGTGTCTCAAGCCCCTAAGCGCCTTGTCCGCCCTTTTCTAGCGTGTGACGCGTCCAAGACCGGAGCACTGAACGCTTTATCCAACACAAAAACTGATTGCTAGTGCCGGTTAGGACCCTTGCGGCTGAACTTTCAGCGAGGACCGCTCTTCCTTGTTTGAGCATTCAGTCCTTAGTGACAGCTTTGAAAGAACTACTAATCATCCTTACGTAACGTTCTCGATTTTGTCTCTTTGATGGCGTGACACATGACTGTGCCACCTATGAATTGACTTATGTGAAAACAACAATCGCTTTGTGGATATTCAGTTCATGACACGACTTATGGCGCGACATCGTGCGGGGGATTTCCCTTTTTATTCTACACCTTTTGAGCGGAAATGGTATAGTAGCAACTGGCGCTGTTTACCGCGCGCACGATCTAGTGCGGTATCCTATTCTCCACCTAGGGAAGAAAGGGTCCTTCAACTTTTTTAATTTCACCGAAACTGTTCCCTTACTTTTCGCACTTGCGTAAATTACACATATACATTACAAAAATGCAGTTTATCGGGGCGATAATTGTAGGAAGACAAAAAGGGATTTTCTGCTTCCTCGCCTTGGGGATGATAGCGAGATGGCCTCTGGCGAATCGAATGTGGCATCGCACGCCTTCCCAGAAAGACCAGCCCTCTCTTAAATGGTTCTTTGGGTGAAAAGGCACACGGAGTTCGGATAAGTACCTGAATGAGGATAAGTACATTGAATTGCATTTACATGGGCTGCCCTCCGTAACTCATTGCATGGGCCAAATCGCATCCGAAATTCTGAATGGAAGTAGAATGCATGGCGCATCCACAAAAGGGATTCACCAACTCTCCCCCCCTGCTGGATCTCTTTATCGATTTATACACGATTTGTTTTTTTTATTTAATTTTTTACTCTCATATCAGTTTTCGTGTTGCTCAAGAAAGGGGAATGACACATAGCTCGCTAGCTGCGAATTCTTTCCGCTCATAAATCTACATATGACTATGTGAAACCCGACGGAACTATCCAATTGAAGAGCGAGGGGATGCATTTCAGAGAAAGGAAAAGCGATTCCAGGTAAAGAATGAATAGCGCGAGCCATTACAATTGAAAATCGGCTCTCGCTCTAAGATTGAGCTGTTTTATGGCGCTCCGTGTAGGGGCATTACGGCAATGATTCGTTTCAGTGCGAGTCACGAAACTTTCTTCTCATGACCTTCACACATGACTTGCGACGGTTCAAAGGAGTAATTCAAAGGAATAATTAATGTAAGAGTACCATGCAACAAACACTTTCACCTAGATTTCTGACACCACTGCGAGGAGGTGGGGGGGAGGGAGGAAATGCTATTTCCTTGGTATTTGGAGACACCCTTGGCTGAGTTCGAACCGTATGCCGTTTTTTTCCTACCGAGATTGGGTAGCATATTCGCCTACAGATAATGATTCCTAGTACTTTTCCACACGGACGACATCTGCAACGGGGACATGATAGTTTTAGGGTTCGAGACCAGCACGTCCTCGCTGGTTGTGGACCTTATAATGTCCGAAATGCTTACGAAGGGTATTGCGCAGTTTGAGCGACTGTCTCTAGAAAGCTATCCGCCAGTTAAACGATTGAAGAGTATTGAATCAGCTCCAGGGAGCTGCTTACGGTAGGCCTTCTTAAGCTCGACGGCGACGACATACCGTCACCCTGCAGCCGGTAATGAAGTGATTAAGGGCTTGCAGTTGCTGATGGGGACATTTCGGTAAGATTTTTGCCTAAGCCTTCCATCGTCGGTAGTTCCCTGGCTAGCTGTTGTGCGCAAAAACGAAAAAGAGCAAAAAGATCTAGCCCGTCGGCCCTCAGCTGCCAAGACATTTGTGTCAAGATGAACTCACTGATTGACCATGTTGGATTGTCTAGTATCCTTTTATATATTCTATTATCTTTTACATGGACCACTCAATCTGACTAATCTTATCGGAGCCTTGAGAACTTGTGCCAAAGCCTTGTAGAGCGACGTGCTGATGTTTCTGCTCGGAATTTTCACCTTTCATTAACAAGCATAGCCTTTGGCGTTTATGGACTACAGATTGAAAACTGGTTATATCTTCGATTTCAGTGGCATCATATACCTTCGTGATCGAGAACTACAGCGTCGTGAAAGGAAATGTGCTAGGGCATTACAAAGTGTTCAGTTTAGGAGAATGCTCTTTACGTTGCTTAGAGGTGAGTTACGTCTAAAATCAGTGATATCAATGGCCAGTTCTACGTGTATTGATCGTGGACTTTACGCCATGGGGCGGAACTACGTACCATGAAGGGAGTGCCTCCGTACAATAAAAGGTAAGACGTGGGTCCCTATAGCCTTGACCAGGAAGGTCTTTCAGGGCGTGACGAGCTTTTTGAAAACGGTCTTTTGCATGATATAGGGGCAGATGCGGGGACCACAGAACCATGTTTAATTTTTCCTGAACGGCCCTCTGAATACCAGAAAAGGGGGTCCCTAGTTCGATTCCTCTTGGTGACAAATTTTTGCATTTCGAGTTGACGTTCGGTTGGTTCTAACTCCATTTTGCGCGAATTTTGGCACGTCAACTCGAAATGCAAAAATTTGTTACCACGAGGAATCGAACTAGGGACCTCCTTTTCTGGTATTCAGAGGGCCGTTCAGGAAAAATTGAACATGGTTCTGTGGTTCCCGCATCTGCCCCTATATCATGCAAAAGACCGTTTTCAAAAAGCTCGTCACGCCCTGAAAGACCTTCCTGGTAGCCTCTCGCGGTTGACGTACTCTCTCGTTTTTCCCCTCTCCTCGCTGCGGTGTGTCTCTCCATCGTGCCACGACCGACCATACAGAAAGTTTGAAGCCGTATTTTTTGGTCTCTTTAGCTTTATTTTTCACTCTGAGCCCACTCCGCATCTCCACATTCATTGCTACGCGCTCTAACCCACCATCTTTATGCTGGAGTAGGCCTAATAGCTTCTTTTGGGACATGACTATACGGGTTCCTGTCACGGATCAAGAAACGCATAATTAGTCCTTTTTATTCAATCACACATTTGGTATAGAGCGGCTACCCATCCAATATCTATGCGATTCTGAACGAAAGTCGAATGAATGGCGTATTTCAAGAAACTCACATTATTCTTAAAATTTTCACCATCATGTTTTTTGCGGCTTATAATTCTCCAGTTTGACACCATGCAATAGCGTGTGCATAATGCAATGGGATTGCAACGATATTCAGCAGGCCCACCGGCCATTTTGGTTTTATGGTTTTATCCCCGCCCTCCCCCTCGGTGCGCGTCCTTCCGACCTCCCTGTATACAGTAAGAATTTTATATTAGTTCACATTTCTGTAAATTGATTTACACTTTCAGCGAGTAGACTGTGCCGGATTCAACTACTTCATCACCAGCGACGAAAAAGCTCACTGCCTACTTGTTGGTAGCAGCAAAGCCGCGTCAGACGCTAAGCTTCCAATTCCAGAAGCTGTCCTCTACGGAGCTAAGAAGATCTTACTAAAAGGTATGGTATCGGTCAATTCTCCACTAGAATAGAAGTTGCCTTTTATGGCCAGGGGTAGAAGCACTAGTTTTGCACAGTTGATTTTCGAACACTTATGTAGTTTCACCTATCATAGCATTGATCACGTTGGCTAGAAATGGCAATCATATCCTCCTCCCTCCCCCTTCCCCACCCCCAGCGCGATAAGGGGTCTGGACCATGTCACTGTCGTCATCAAACCGCTCCTTTCTCCATCCGTGGAGTTCACTGCCTTCAGGAGACACTGGTTTTCATGATGTAACCATGCTCACTGCCCTGACTGATATGCGCATTTGGTACATAAGATAGCATCTTAGATCGACGCAATGAGAGCTGCTTTGAAGCAGGGTAGATCGTCCGTCGAAAAGTCCTCTGTAGGGAACGTGAATGTTGGCAGAGAAGCCTGGTAGACTGGTGAGCGTTGAAGAGAACTCCGAGGAAATTGTAGGAACAGTAAATGAGTCAATGCAGACTACGGTCGCAAATCTCGCAAAGATTACATGCTTTGGTGTGACAATGAGGTCCATGTTGTGGGATTTACTGAGGAGCAGAGGAGGGAGAGAATGGTGTCGTGGAGCAGCCAGTGTGGAGGAGGGGGTGTGGGCGTGAAATTATAGGTCAGACGGATCAGCGAGAAGTGATTGGCGCCATCGAATGGGGCGGGGGAGGATTTGAAGTGATAGCTGCGAACAGAGTTCGAGAAGGGGTTGTAGAGCGTGCGACGCGGCTGTCTCAACCTGCCGAGCTGTGAAGAGGGGTAAAGTTCGGCTGGGTACGTAAGGCAGCCGGGATTGTTAGGCAAAGTTTGATAGAGGGGACGGGTCGGAAAGAGAGGGATGGACGAAAAACTTCTCCAATCACCATCTTTGCCCTTCTTTTGGATAGCTTGTGCTAAATTCGCTTTTGTATCGCTGTGCGAACCGGTCTCAGTTTTTCCCAGCCACATGTAGAAAGTCCAAATATATCTGCGAAAATGTGCTGTAAGTGAACGCTCGGACCTACTGACCGAGAAACCCTTCAGACTCGAACGATCACGATCGTTTTCTTGTAATCCCGCAACTCTGAATTGTTCTATAGCCCATGAAATGCGGGACAAAGTGAGACGGATTGGCTTGTAATCCTGTCCTGAATCCCTGCATAGCTCATCGAAGCTGAATACATATTTTACTGGCAAAAGACAGAAGTTAGGTACGCGTTTGAACCTTAAAATCCTTGTGAAAGCCCAAAGAAGCCCCAAAGTGATAGGGAAAGCTGCTACATATAATTGATCTGATGGTTTTTCAGCGAATTGCTCAAGAAGGACGTTTGCCTTCTTGAGAAACTTTCCAATCTAGAGACTCGGAACAAAGGGATTGTTTTTGAGACTACAACTGGAAATACCACTGAGCAGTGCCTAAACATGTGCCTAGACAGGTGATTCCATTTGTTTCTACAACTGTACAGTTCATAGCTACGAATCAAAGCTAGCGAGAAATAGCACCTTATTGTGAGGAGGATGGTCACACCCGTCGCATCCATATGTTGTCATTATCTCATTGTTTGTCATTTGTTATTTGTATGCGTTTGTTATTACGCGTTATCTTATTTATTTATTTATTTATTATTCATTTATCTATATCATCATGACATCGATTACCTGATAGTCAGTCATGACCATCTATACCTGATTTGATATGTTTTTATTTTTTATTTTGGAGGGTCGGTCATGGACATCATTTTTTCTAATTTATTTTATATTCGTATTTTCATTCATATTTTATTATTTGTTTGTATTATATATTTTTTATTACTTACTACTTACATTTTATTTGTATTTTTTGCATTTTATTTATAACAAATACATACTTTTGATTTTTAATAAATTATATATTTGAATAATATATTTGATTTGCTATTCAACTATGGCATTTATTGTCTTATATTATTACTGTGATAAAGTTATTATTATTATTATTATTATTATTATTATTATTATTATTATTATTATTATTATTATTATTATTATTTATTATTATTATTATTATTATTATTATTATTATTATTATTATTATTATTATTATTATTATTATTATTATTATTATTATTATTATTATTATTATTATTATTATTATTATTATTATTATTATTTTGTTACAATTATATAAGGTATGGCTAGTGTCGACTGATGCCACGTCAGCGTTAAGTGTATCTTCACCCCTAGAAATCCACGAGGGCTATAGGGCTACAACATGGTCGTCTCTTCAGATCAAATTTCGAATGAGCAGCAAACTCAGCGTAAAGGTTAATAATCAACAAGTTAGGTTACTCTGAGATGTGCCATTTAATCTGTCGAAGCCTTCCCAAAAAAGGGAAAATCGAGCAAAATCTGGGGATAAGGGTGACAAAAGGTGAAATTTCTCAGGGGTTTTCAAACTACATAACAATAAGACTCCTGCCAAAGGCTGGAGATCAGTACATGCATCAACAAGGCAAGGTGTAGCCCGTGGGGGTCGAACGCTTCTTGAGCCTGGGCAGAATTCAGTCCTAGAGCTAATGCTATTGTGGATCGGAGTCTTGTGCTAATATTCTCAAAGTCAGTACTTAGGTTGGGTCTGTTAAATTCAGAAGCTATAACACCGTCGATTTCAGCGCCGACTGTCGAGCAGCGCAATTCAATCGCCGCACGACAGCATGTGATCTGCTCATGGCCTCACCAAATACCGTATACAACATCAGAAATCATTTCAGCTACAGTGAAGATGTGGATATTTACGAGAACAATTGCGTCGAAGGTAAGCAGATCAAATTTTCAAGCAGAGGGTTTTATGAGAGAACGGTTCCACGACTAAAACTGAGTTTGAAGAAAGGGAAACTTACCTATTGGGCAGAACCCCTAAGGGTGGAGACCAACACGAAATTCGCACCGAAGCATATGCTTCTG